AGAGAGAGAGAGAGAGAGAGAGAGAGAGAGAGAGAGAGAGAGAGAGAGAGAGAAGTCGGCCTCTGTGGGTTGCGAATTTTTCATACTTGGTTCATAATCTTTTCTTACTTGACTACTTATTAACTCATTTCAAGCGTATTTATATAGTTTTAATTCAACTGTGAAACGTGGTGTAATCAAATTTACGGTGTCGCTCTTACCTCTAATACGTTCTATCGAGACATTTAATTTCGAATGAAAGCCCAATTCAAATTGTGCTGTTATTATTTACATTGGTGGAGTAGCAGCAATTTAAATTGTATGTAAACAGTTTTTTTCATATTTATTTGGACCATGCTATTGAAATAGCGACAAATTGTCTACAACTTCGTGTTTCACACAATGCAAACGCCTTTTCTACCGACTTTATGGGGTTTCAGACATGCGTTAGACGATTTGTATGTCGTTACACTTTTTGTTGGCTTCATTTTTGTTCAGCGAGAAACATCCGATTGTTCGTAGATCCTACCACTTCAAATCAATATGATAACACGATTTCTGGTTTTCCGCATATTAGAGTATTTGAAGGGCTTGGTTTGGTGACAGAATTGAATACCAGTGAATGATTCGAGGAAAAAATTCGAAATATGGGAATATTGCCCTTCCCCATTGATTTTTTTTTTCAAGTTTTCAAATTTTTTGACTAATCTGTGAAAGGAATTTATGATGTAATGAAACACATTTATCACTAGCAAATCAAGAAAACATTACTAAACTCGCGTCAGTTCGTAGAAGCTAAGAATGAAATTTTTTCTGGTCAGATTTTTCTTGGGAAAAACGCCATCGTATACCCAACTTAAACACAATCACAAAAATTAGAAATGATATCAAGTCGCTTTCAGACATTTCGACAAATGAATAAATAGTGATAAAACTGCTCGATTACATTCATCGACTGAGTAATATCAAATTCATCATTCGCACCAGAGAGTCACTGTCGCCGGCTGTGATCAAGATAAACGGATCTATTTCACTGAAAGTAGAATTTAAACATGTGACAATTTGATAAACAAAAGAATGAAACAAACCATAGTCGCCCGACGGTTGACTCAGTAAGATATGAACAATATCATAACTGTTATCGAAACATTCACTTTAAGAGACAAATTGTGTAATAATTCGATTAAACGAAGTCGTCCCAATACTATCTCGTTGAGCGCGCTAATAAACACATAAAACCAGCGGATTTTTTTTTTATTAGAAGAGTGTTATATTTTTTAGTAGTTTGCAACATTTAACACATTGCGCACGAGAAAAACATTGTGTCTGCTCTATTCGATGACAGAGTCCAAAAATCCGAAAATTCGATGACAGTGAATAGGTAAATTTTCAATGGTGAATTCGGAAACATTTGACGTCATTATTCGGTTTAATCTTAGAAACCATGTTTCCATGACATCGCTGATGTAAAACTGTTTTTTTTTTCTTTGTGTGTGCGTACGAATCTAAGAAATAAACGATAAAAATAAGTTTGATACAAGAAAAAAAAATGGTGAGAAACCGAATAATTTGCCGAGTTCAGTGGAGGCAAATCATGTGTGGAGACGATTTCGTTGCAAACTAAATCGATCCGGATGAAGTGAACAAAGGTAAATTATGGTATATGAAAATTGAACGTCAGTTTGTCGGCGCCCGGTCCTTGAAAGTGTTGATTTTATGGAAATTACGTTACGTAACAACTTAACTTAATTAGTTCGTTGCATCGCACCAGTCCACCGTCTACATTTAAATAGGTCATAATTGTATTCTTTTTTTTTTGCGCGTTTGACTCTCTGTCTCTGTCTCTCCGTTTAAATCTGCTTCACGAATGTAGAGGAAGACAGAGAGATAGAGGAGCATGCATGACAAGTTCATTGCGCCAAAGCTCGTTCAAATGAAAGCAAAACGATTCACGTGTGCATGAATTTAGTTCAAAGCAGATTGAACCGACATGTGCCGCCCATTTTGGCAATCGTGCGTTTTATTTTTTGTTAATTTTGACATTTATATTGTGATTGAAATAGGTGATATGTTGTGCTCCGGAATTGTGTCACTCATATCTAGAAAATACATTCAAGTCCAAAAGGTTATCTTCAAGGAAATAACTTGATAAAAAATACCATTTTTTGTTCTTTGAATTTTGAATCATTTCTCTTTGCTTTTTCCTTTCAGATTTTAATACCGAACGTACTGAAGAGATATCGAGTGTAGAAGAAAAAAAGAAACCGTATCATCTGAGATGATTCACCAGTTGTAGCTATATAAAATATACGTAAAAGAATTGATGATGATGATCGCTGATTCAATAACAAATGTAAATTATTAACAACTAAAATGAAAAGTATAGTGAGCAATTTTTTTAAATGAACAACTTATTCCAAAACAATTAGATAAAATTAAACTTCGAAATCCGCACCGCACAACAACAAGACATTAAATAATAATTGAACAACAAGAAGAAAATAAGAATTTTGCGGCAATTTGAATAAAACAAAGTGTTTCCAAATATAAAAACTAGTGTTTAAACCAAATTGATTTAAAAAAAAAAGAACCGAACATTATATACGAAGCCAAACGTACAAAAAACCATTCCAAAGCTCGCTAAAAGAAATTTACTTTTGTTTTCCATTTAAATCGATAGTGATCGTGTTTTCATGAAGCCAACATTCATATCGCGGTCAGTTTAACACGCACACACACACACACACACACACACACACACCGTATTTGTTTGCTTCCTAATATTTGCTAGCCACTATTCTGCATATACACAGCTATTAGTAATCTCCTGCGTTTATTCTCTAATCCCATTTATTTACAATAAAAAAAAATTATTATAAATAAAACAAAAGTTAAACAATTCACACAAAAAATAAATCAGATAAGAATTGCTAGAAACAATTCGAACGGAGTTTTGTTCGAAAAGTAAATCAATAAAATAAATCAAAATGGCAACACCACCCGAGGTGGATCAAGATCAGAATATGTACGTGAATTTTGATTCAAAAGGGCCATATATATCCATACCGCAGTTCTATGCCGGCCGAAGTGTATTTATCACTGGTGGAACAGGTTTTATGGGCAAGGTAAGGGGAAAAATTCGTCGCTTTGATGCGTAATCAATGATTACAGCTGTTTTTCATTTGAATTTTATTCATCGATCGCAATTTTCTTCAATTTTGATTATTTTATTATTTATTTCATTTGATTATGTTCATTTTGTGTATCAAGATGAATATTATTTTGAATTAATCAATTAGTTTTAAATAAATTTGGTTCATTTTTCCCAATAAACATTCTGATTGATATGAATTAAACTGTACATTTGCAGGTGTTAGTGGAGAAATTGTTGCGATCATGTCCGGAAATTCAGAACATTTATTTGTTAATGCGACCCAAACGTGGACAAGAAGTCTCAGCTCGATTAAATGAACTACTTAACTCACCCGTAAGTCTTGAAATTCATTCAATTTTATCGTTTATTTTCATTTGCACCTAAGCAATAATCCTCTAATCGATTTCCATTATTTGTGTTCTTTTGTTTTTCGTCATATTGTTACAGCTCTTCGATACGATTCGCAAAGAGAAACCAAATGAGTTAAACAAAGTAATACCAATATGTGGTGATATCACGCTCCATCAGCTCGGTATATCAGAAAGCGATCAAGCTCTATTGTGTCGCAATGTGTCCGTAGTATTTCATTCAGCAGCCACAGTTAAGTTCGACGAAAAATTAGAACTATCCGTTAAAATCAATATGTTAGGTACAAAACGTTTAGTTGAATTGTGTCATCGAATGATGAATTTAGACGTGAGTAAAAAGTTCAATGAATTTAAATGCGCTTTTGTTTGTCATACAATAGCCACATACAAACATTGAATTCATTTGTTTTGTTTATTTCAGGCACTTGTTCATGTTTCAACCGCGTATTGTAATTGTGATCGAACTGAAATCCAGGAAGTAATTTATCCAACGCCGTACGATCCAGCCAATATAATTAACTTAATAAGTTGGCTGCCAGAAGATGTTCTAGACAAGGTATCACATACGAATTATGAATCGAATTTTTATCACATTTTCATTGAATGACTAATCGATCTTATCTAGGTTTTTTTTCTCGCAAAATCAAAAGCACCATATTTATTTTGAAATTTTGATCAATTTATTCAGTTAACACCGTCGCTGATTGGCAAACGGCCAAATACTTATACGTTCACAAAGGCGCTCACTGAGCAAATGCTGCTTGAGGAAGCCGGAAATTTGCCGGTTGCCATCGTCCGACCATCAATAGGTATGTGATTAAATTGATTGATGACGCGAGACAATTATTATTACAATCAATGAATTGCATAATTTGTGTCTGTTTTTTTTGTTTGTTTCTCCAATTGCACACAAACATAGTGATTGCATGCCACAGTGAACCGGCTGCGGGTTGGTTAGATAATTGGAACGGACCGACTGCTATAATATCGGCCGTTGGCAATGGGCTATTCCGTACGATAATTTGCGAAAAGGATTTCTTATGCGATGTTATTCCAGTTGATATTGTCATTAATTTGGTGATCACGACGGCTTGGCGAACGGCCACAACTAAATCACGCAATATGAAAATCTACAATTGCGTAACCAGCCGACAGCAGCCAATAACATGGGGCGAATTTGTGGGCTATTCGATAAGAAATATGATTCGGCATCCGATGGAGGGTGTTGTTTGGTATCCAACCGGAGCCTTACGCATGAATCGCTTTATAAATGCGATACAAGGATACTTGGTACACTACATTCCAGCCTATTTCCTCGATATGTTTGCCTGGGCGATGGGCAAAAAACCAATGTAATTCACTTTTTCTACCCTATCGTGACTTCCTTAAGAGCCATCCTCTCTAGTACAAACGGAACAGACTATAACAACATTCAGCGCATAACATGAATGTGTAGTCTGTTCCGTTTCGTACATTATTGAGCGGTGAACTGCACCCACCGTGGTGGTATAATGTGTGGACCAACGACAAAGCCTTGCGACTCAATATTTTTTTTCTCTTCATTTTGATTATATTTCTAAACTGTTTGTGAAGAAAAATAATTTTTTCGAATAAACAAAGTGAAAACAAATCAAAATTTGGGATGAGAGTTTATAGCATATATGAAGAAAAAAAAGCCGTGAAGAGCGCTTGATATATTTAGAGAATTTAAATGAGATTTAATATGAAAAAGAAAATTCTTCACTATAAATCTAAAAATTTGATCAATTTATAGAAAAAAAAGTTTCATGTGAAAAAATAATGGAAAAAAAAGATTTTTATCGGTTGAATTCAAAGAGTTGGCCAAATGAAACAATACAAATGAACGTTCTAGAACACACGTCGGTGTGTTCATTGTATTTCAGTGCTAAGTCGATTGATTCAGTTCGATTGTATGTATGCGTCGTCATCAAAAATCGACCACAGAAACTCACACAAAGAAAACAATGTGTGTATGCAAATATTGTTTGTGTGAATGCATTTTGTTGAACTTAAAAATTTTTTACATGAATTTTAGGCCTTTTTTCTATACATTTTCATGATTTTTTTTTTCACTTTTCACTTGCAATTTTCCATAATTTCGCTTAAACTAATCGTCTCTATTCGATATTGCAATGTATTTGCAGAATGATTAAGATCCAGAATAAATTGGAAAAGGCAGTTGGTTGCTTAGAGTATTTCACCACACATCAATGGCGTTTCACCGATGACAATGTTCGCGAATTGCTAACGCATATGAGTGCCACCGATCGCAGCACATTTCAATTTGATGTCACCCACATTGATTGGGATGCCTATTTTGAGCGATATATTCTAGGGCTAAGGGCATTTTTATGCAAACAAAATCCGAAAACATTGCCAAGCAGTAGAAAAAAAATGACCAGGTAAATTGAAGGGATCGAATTCATTGCTCTCTCAATGGGGAGACGAGAGTCAATTTTTATTATATTAATCTTGTCGATGCTTCATATTTCAGATTGTATGTTGTGCACCAAATGTCCAAAATCCTTATAGTTATATTCACGTGGCGATTCTTGATGGCGCGTTCGAAGAAAATCCGTGACGCATGGTCGGGCATTTTACGCATTATACTCCAAACTTTAAGTCTTTTACCGTTCTTTTAAACAACAGAAATTAAAACAAACAAACAAAATAATAGTAGAACAGCAGATAAACAACAACAACAACAACCAAATCTATAATCTATATAACACTAAGTCTATCTTAAACGAAATGAAAACATTTAAAACAGACAAAAACAAAATCAAATGGGATACACTTGTTCTCTGGGTAGGTGTAGATGATAATATCTAGCAGATGAGAGGCTTTGGTGTGTATCTATGTTTGAAGCCATTTTCTCTTTTTTTCCACTATATATAAAAAATATTCCGATGGCGAGCAGTATGCTAAACTGTTGTAATTTTCTTTCCCTCTATCTTTCTTTCGAATAATTTTTTTTTCGTTTTTTTTTTTTAAATTCAATTCAAGTGCAAATATTGAGCGCATGCTTCCATTTAGTCGTCTTCAATAGGTTTATATGAATCGCAATGTTATTTTTTCAGTGGAACAATTGAGAAACTCGGAAATAATACCAAGGGAAAATTATCAAGGAAATAATACCAAGGCTATCTGAAACTTAAACACACACAAAAAAAAAACGATTTACAAACAGAACTAGAAGTTCATATATAGAGGTTTTCCCTTATCAGTCATTTATTAAAAGCAAAAGAAATAGAAAAAATGACAAAGAAGAAGAAGAAGAATAAAAAGCAAACACAAAATAGGATTGAACATTGCAACAATGTGCTGCTAGAACAGAAAAAAAACTCACAACTCTTCCAAAAATAAAACGACAACTACAATTCAGTACATTGTTTTCAAGTTATAATATGCATCATCTCTTGAGATTGGCCATTCGCATTTCTTTTTCGGGAGCTTCACACATCAGATTTTAACAAATTTCAATGTATAAAAAAAACAACAACATCAAATTAATTTCCGTTTGATACGCCACCATCATTTGGAATGTGTTCATAAACGCTAAAAACAAAACAAATTTAAATAAGAAACGCTCACGGCATATTTGGCCTGTGGTAGTTATTTAATTTCGATTTTAAAGTCATAGCTTTTAGAATGTCATGTTTTATTTTTATGTTTGTTAAATTTTGTTTTCGTTTCTTTTTTTTTTTTCTTCTTTCATATGAGGCTGTGAGAATGAAAATGGCAATACAGGAATGAACATTCTGAACCGCATCAAGAAAAAAAAAATCGCAAAAGTGAATCATGAGTTCTGAATACGCAAAAGTGAACCATGAACCTCCCATGCTGCCCATGTAAATTTTTGTTTCACTTTTGCATATTCAGAACTCATGATTCCTTTTTGCGAATTTTTTTTCTTAATGCGTTTCAGAATGTTTATTCCTGTATTGCCATTTTCATTCTCACAGCCACATATCTAAGTAGAAATTCATTTGAAAACAACAACAAACAAATATGAGAGAAGAAATTATTGCGATTAACAAGCAAAACAAAAAGACAATCTATGACAAATACATAGATTGATGAAATCCTTGTATTTATCACATAAAATGTTATGGCATCGAATAGTTATTTCGGCCAAATTGAGCAAATTGACAAAGAAATACCAAACAAAAAAATCATAAGAAAATCTTACACCAAAATTGAAGTATATTTTCCATTGAAATTATAAGAATTGAGTAACAAAAGCATTTCGACATGAAACCCCATGCAGGGGTGACAGTGAAATGATTACGATGATGATGATGATGATGATGATGATGAGATGAATTTTGTTATTGTTATTTTGTGTACTAGCAAAAATTTGAGATTGTATTTCATGTCCTTCATTTTAAAGTCATTTTGTGCTAAGAAAACATAAAAGAAGAAAATAAAAAAAAATTACTGCTTTTATTCCTTCCTAACAATTCGATTTTCGCCTAACGAAAACTCTGCTTCCAGCCACCCAAACGGTTTTTTTCTTCTCTTCGGTTAATCAACTTGAGCGAAACGACTTTTTTCACAGGTTATGGAATTCCGGTGGTCAACGTTCTTAAAACGATCAAGAAGTAACAGAATTTTGTTTTTTTGAAGAACAAAAATCAAAATAGGTCCCAACATACACACACAAAATAAAGGTGGCACAATCAATGACAGAGGGGAGAAAATGTGTAAATTGAATCAATTCTACATGAATTTTTTCGCTGAGGCTAAAAATTTGCCACCTTTGACACTATTTCATGATAAAGGGATAGAATGAACTATTTGCATTGTATGGATTGGAGTGGCAAATCTATAAAGATTCGTTGCTTAGGCCTAAGCCTTTTTCAAACAACCCACGACCTTCATGATGACCCATGTGGGCCAAATGAAGTAAATTTTTTTTGAACCATTTCATACATGAGTTCCGAGGAAAAATGCATTCATTCATATCATCCAGTATCATCAAACATTGTCGAAGAGACGAATTTCCAGTCTCCTCGTAAAAATGAATGTAGAATTTACTGAACAAAATGAACATATTTTATGCACTGAGTGGATTCCATTCTGACATTTATTCAGTCATCTTCATTTTGTGTGTGAACAATTGCATATTAAATAACGTTTAAATGAATTGACATTCATTTCTATGGTAGCCCCCTCAGAAATTTGCTGTACAAACGCGTAATACACAACAAGCAGAAAAAATAATGTTTTCATTCGAAATTTTCATTGTAAAAACCCAGTGCGAGAAGGAGTATGAAAAGAGAGAGAGAGAGAGAGAGAGAGAGAGAGAGAGAGAGAGAGAGAGA